AGAAAAACTCGTTTAAAGCTGGCGCACTTAGCCTAGCTAGATTCGAGCCTTCAAGTTCTCGAGGCTGTAACTCTGAGACCCGAATCAATTCGAAAATTTAGGACAATATTCTAAAGGTGCTGTAGAATTTAATAAGAAAACCTATAAACCCATATAATCCCTTAAATCCTTTCTTACAAATACATCAGATAATGATTGAAGAAATAAGATATCTGATAATAATTTCGATCTTGAAAGCCATTTTGCAGTGTAAATTTTTCCATCAAAAACGACTATTTCTATGGAACCAAAAAAAATCTAAAACGCGGTGTTTCTGACTTGCATGCAATTATAATTCCTTAAATGGGGAAAATGCATACTATCATTCTCTTGATAACTGATATTTCCAAACAAGGCAAGAAAAATCAATTAACTGTGAGCAAATTAAATACATACATGAGCGGTTTGTAGTTTGGAAACCATTTTATAAAATTGTTTTAATAATAAGGGAAAGATAAAAAACTGAAAGCAGGGACCTTAGAATTACAATTAAAAGCTTTTACTTGGAAAGGTTTCCTTTTTTGACTAAGAACATATTTTTCAGAGTACCAAGAAAAAAATTAATATAAAATATTCGTTTTTTTTTACGTACCCTAATACACAAGTAGCATTCGTATCAGTTAAATATCATAAAAATAAGCATACATTACATATAACATACTTCTCCGATAGCCTGTCAATAAAACGTACAAATTTTACCTAGAAAAGTCTAATAAATGAATGACTTTAAGGAAATCGGCCTGAGCTGTCATACATTTTAGGACGAAAAAATATAAAAGCATTACATTTAGCTGATTTGGCATCTACATGTACTATTCATCGACTAAAATTATGAAATAATAAAAGAATATTAACGTGTCTACCATATAACTTAATTTGTATGCGTAGGGAGACGCAATTGCAAAACTTAGTTCGCTGGAAGCAAGTATATGTGTTTGTATGTTGGTGTGTAAAAGTGCATTTTTATGAGCATATACATACATACATATGTATATGCATTAAGTGAAAGGCAATTCTTTTCTAGCAAAGCAATTAAAGAGAATATAAAAATGTGCACTGTGTACTGGGAAACACATAACAACCTACCAAGGCAGGCGGGAATTCACGAAGCTATGCGTGAAAACAAGGAATAATTATGTATGAGTACAGGTAAGATACGTGATTGCATTTAAATGCATGGACATTTATATTTCATATTAATATGAATACGCACCGCAGACAGAAGAGAAAAAAAATGTGTGCAAATGTGTTTAATAAAGCAAAGCAATAATTGTATCTATTGCAATTTAAGTCATGTTAGTCTAGAGACAAGTACACAAATACCATAGGAGAGAAATATAAAAGTCAAAATGTTAAAAAAAATCAGTAAATTAGGATAATTAATTTTTTTTTTTTCATATTTTGACAGGCTTTAACATAATAAAATTTAAATCGATAGTTTTTGATTTTTGATATCAATATCAGTTCCATCAGCTTACGGGCATATTTATACACACTGAAGAACACTGCAGAAACAAATGATCCAATCACTGTAAATTGCTAGTTATTCACAGAATGATCTACCTGTTTTTATATGAAAGAAAATTCAATATTAGCTGACCAAAAAAAGTCAGTATTTTAAAAGAAATTCAATTTAATTAATTTTTTTAAACGCCAATGCTCACAAAATGGTATTTAATATTTGCATTTTCATTTTATTTTTTATTGTTTTTTCCCATATCACTGATGACTGTGGGAAAAATGTTCGTGAATATCGCTGATATAAAATTTAACGCACCCATGCGAGTGAATTTGCATGCAAAGAATTGCAGAAATAATTGAATTAAAACAGAAATATGCCAATGGAATGAAACAATGATTCGCTATGATCACTTACATTGCTATGTGCCACGTACACATGTGTGAGAGTGTGTGTGGTTTTGGCGTAATGCTCGTAACTTGTCTGGCGCATTTTTAGCACACACACTCATGCAGGTGTGTATGTGTATGGCCACAAGCAGCACGTAAATGTTTTGCGTAATTGTGGCGTGAAAATGCAGTTAATGTTGCAACTCAATAAAAGAGAAATAAAAACCGAGAAATAAGAAAACGCAACCGCAACTAAAACGCAATACTTTTATACCGCACATGTTGGATGAAAAATAAAATTTAATTATGAGGTTTACGAAAAGAACAACAAAAATATTTCTAGAGTATTATTTAGTACAATTGATGAGATTTTGGACGTTTTAAGGAGGTTAAACTGGCTAAAGTTACTCAGCATAAGTGAATGATGATACGATAAGAAGTCCATTCCCACGGACCCGGATTTTTATCCTGCCAAGGACTGTCAACTCGGCAGAATTCTGCCGCTAAAACAACAAGAACAACAGCAAGTTGAGGAATCTAACTAATTTGAGATAAAATACTGATGCTGTATACTGAACCAGTCGTAGTCTTCTTAGTATTCCTACACAAAAACCTGAACTAGACCTTGAAAATTCCAATAATTTTTAATTTTTTGGCTTTTCACCCTTTTCAACATCCTCTAACCGACTTCTTATTACATAAAACATATAAACATAAATTCTGGGTGCTTTTTCCAGGTATACGATAGTTATACCATATAGATGAAATAAGCAGAAGTGGCTAGAAATTACAAAAAAATCGATTTGTTTTGTAATATTTTGATAGTTTAGACTCCCAAAAAAATATATTATCGAAAAAGTTTTTAAAATACAAGAAAGATAAAAGATAGTGAAAAATGAACTATTTTTTAAATAGTTCAATAGTTCCCTATGGTGATAGCGAGAACGCAACCTTTTCTCTTGCTCTACTCAATGGATCAACTAATCATAAACTACAATTTATCCAACTGTGGAACATTTTTGGGATTATTGTCTGGGGGGTGAGGAAAAACAGGCTTGTTGGGAAAGCATCGTTCTRCCAACTACGATGTTTCTGTCGCAAGGATGTTAAGAGCATTCTCGGAAATTTGTTTGTTTTTTTTTTTTTTTTTCCAAAATTTTTCAACTAAGCGAAAAAACATCAAGATAAGGGAAAAAGGAGTCATAAGGTCATAAAAAAATTGACACATACGAACGACAAACCCTTTGAGGGTTTTACTATACTGACCTAGTACCATCACCCTGACTTGGAATTTCTCACCCCCCAGATTAGCTGTTGTACTGTGCTATCAGCGCCGTATTGGAATCACATATTGTCCAAGTCCATATCATCCAATTCGGGCCAAAAATACTCAGTTATTATTGAGCAGTAGTTATTCACAATCACAGTAACGTACCAGGCTTGATCATCACGGAACAAGTACAGATCAAAGACGCCGGCGGCCCATAAACCACACCTAACCGCAAGCGAAAAAAATCTGCCGCCGCTCGTTGTCCTTATCGGTCTACTTTTGTTGCTCCCTATTGTAAAACCATATATTATTGAACTAGTTGCAATGTAATAATAATAAAAAAATCATAGTTCAACCCAAGTCAACTCCATGAATTATCTCACTATATAGATATTTTTCAGACTATTATATTTAAAGCAACTTTTTATACAAAATTTATATAATTTTTTAATAAATGTTTTACTTCGCTTTTGAACATGCAATAGTTACACTTTTATGACGTGTGTTGTTGTTGCTGATGTATGCTAGGAGCCATTGTGGGTCAATTAAAGCACATCTTCGTTACACGCATGCGCATATTGTGCTGGCCATGTAACTTGGCGCAAACGCATTAAACACAACGCATAGGCAGCAAAGCGCAAGTGTTTTGCAATCATCACTTTGTTGAAATATAATGTATGTGTATGAGCATATCTACAATAATATTTACAAATATATAACACACAAGAAAATATGATTGAGCATAAAAACTGAGAAATCGCATAAAACTTTGCGCTTACGAGCAAATATGACAGGGAGTTTTAAAAAGAAGTTTGTTAAAGCACAATTTAGAAGTCCGAAAAGAAAGGGACTGAAATGGCAATTCATGCGTCGTTGGCAATTCTAGCTACAGCCATGTCTCTATAACGCATTTGGATGTAGTTCGCGCGCCAAGTTGATAAGTTAGCGATTAAATTGTCTAATCAGCGCTTGCGCGCTTTTTTCACCAATTCAGTCATTTTGGCACATGTCACTTTCTTGCCGTTGTTG